ACAAAAGTAACTGTAGTAAGTGTCCTATGTGACAAGTGTGACCACTACAAGTTTGCCACTGACTGCGTCTCTGTGTTCATTCGATTAGAGCTTAGAGTTCATGGAAACCATTTACATAAAAGGTGCGTTTCCCGGACTACGAGAGATCGTGTGCACACCAAGTAGAAGCTCAGAACGATTCAGTCAGGGTTTCAGTCTGAAGTGAACCATCAGTTAAATGAGGAAGGAAATCGCCTCATCTCACCCCTAATCGAGTGGTTGTTACTCAATGATTCCGGCCAGATCCATTCACTTCATCGTCATTGAACCCGTAGTAGCGGATCCAGTGCGAGTTTCTCGGATGACGCTAACTAGGGGCGTGTCCACCGTGCTGACATCATGGGCTGCGTTCCCCGACATTAATCACAGTCTATGGGCCACTTAGCGGTTTACTTCGGTCACATAAATGCGGAAGAATGTAGAGAAGCTTGCCGGTAGTTGTGAGTTGAACGGTGCCTATCGCCAGGACCTAATACGATTCTGGACTTTCTCTGCTCCGCTTTAATGTTAAAGAATTGCAGTAACCTTGACAATCGCCGAACGGAATGACGGGGTAGTGAGTAATCGCCAAGCCAACTTTTCTCTAACCTTTTACAAGCCTCTGAATCTTTTACAAAACCGCACTGGTAGGACTTACTCGATATTCGACACCAATCAGTCAGCACTGAGGCCACCCTCAAAGTTTTGACGCGTGCGAGGGCAGTTTCGATGGTCAAGTGGAGCCATCCTGTCCAATCTTCTAGCCACGGAGCCAAAGGCCATGTCTTCTAGAAGTGAAGCTCGGCGGAACCACATAGAGTGCTGCTTGTTAATCTGCAAGTGCAGGAAATGAAAAAGACTGCTCGCGCAGGATAGCCTAGAACATTTTTTTGCACGGAATGACGGGATGAGTAATGTGGACAATTCCTTCAGACACTGTCTTCACTTCTATTCCCTTCGAATCCGTAAAACCGACATGTCTGGGATCTTAGGGGCCCTGACTATAAAGCTGACTACCAGGAAAAATTCATGAAAAGGACGTAATGGACCACTGTGGCAAAAAGTCAGGCGGTAGATCTCTTTCACTGTTCTAAGACACTTTGCGGGAACCTAAACACTCGTGACCTAATCGTGGAAGTTTTGGAGCTGCTTAAGGGCGGCGCATTACTGTATATATTATTAAACTTAACGGGGATGATTTCACCTTATTGAG